TTAATTTGATGTTTGCTCTTAGTTGCTAGTAGTTATGCTTACACCAGACGGGTGCAGATTCTGATCCCTTGCCTCCGTGCCGGGCATCTCGTCAAGCATCTGCTCTGCATACTCAACAGCAGGATCATGTGCCCCCTCAGCTAGACCATCATCCAGGGCCTGAGTCATTTCTTCACACTGGGACCCTGCAATGCTTTCTGAGAAAACACCAAATTACTGTTGATAAACAGGATTTGCCTCCTCATCATCAGCAGCGGCATTGTCTTGGTCGTCTTTCGGCTGCTTGCGTCGTTTTTGATCAAGCTGCTGGAGCAAAACATCCAAGGCTTCCAGCTCCTCCTGGGAGCAGCTCTCTGTCACCACTGGCAGCTGCATGATCTGTCTCGTCTTGAATGTCTTCGTGCTGTTCTTTCTCGCATGTACTCCGTGGGCCGCCAAGAGCTTGGAGAGCTGATCTGATGTCAAGCGTACGATCGCCTTGCTTTTCACCATGTCGACCACAGGGGGCAGCCCATTTGCTGCCCTGCGTAAGCAAAGAGAAGCCCCGAGCTTGGCAGCATAGTTGGCAGGGAGCCAGTGCACACTGTAGGAAAAGACCGTGACCTGAACAGGCTCGCAATCGCACAGGATCACCAACTAACCGCCACACCGTTCAGTTGATTCTGACAGGACTTGGATTTTGCAGGCAGCGGCACTTTGGCGATGTCATCCATCAGCATGACTCTCAGAGGATGCCTTGGCAAAAGCACTGTGAAGCATGCAGTAGTAAATCATATTGAGCAAGCTGCACATGAAACTGAGTTGTTTAAGCGGGGTGCTGCCCAGCTTGGATCTTCAACAGGAGAGCCTTCACCCTCTCCTTGTCTCGAAGCGGATCCTTCTGTGAATACCGGGCTTCCCGAGACAGCATCTTCGTTTCGTCCTCCGTCGCCACAGGCCATCCTCCTATGAACAGGAGTCTATGCTCCTCCAATGGCACTGCCTTACATCCACAGGAACTGGGCTTAACCAAACATGCAAACACCATAACATGAGTCCTTTCATAGGCTTCTTAGGCATCAGATAGTGTGCTGAGGCCAGAACATACAGCACGGCAGGTGTCCCACCCACACAAAGATAAAATGCTCCATCGATCTGCAGCAGCTGGCCCCTTTGCAAAATGGATGGAATCCAAAACTTCTCCGAGGCCTCGAGCAGGTCCCGCCCGCTCCTAGAAAGGACAGTCTGCAGTCACTCCCCACAAACGAATAGCAAGTCACTTCAAGTCGAGCTGGCTTTGCTGCTGCCACAGCCACTTCTTTGCAAGCCGGAGGCCCCTCAGGAAATTGAGCTGAGACTTGCAATGATTGAAAGCACTCGTGGACTCGTACGGCTTCAAGACGTCGTCCACTCGCATCTCGGAACCTTAGCTTGATTCAATGTAACACGGTCCCTGCGTGGTCCCAATGCCAACAATTCCAAAACCGTGCTTACCCCGAGAATTGAATCCGGAGTACAAGACGATGCCGAGTCTGGTCGCCATATGCGAGGCTTCAGATTGCGAATGGCATTGCCCTCGTAGTCCTCACTTTCGAGCTTCACCAGGTTCGGGCCGCCCTCCACATCCATCTTCTGCTGCACGGCCCGCACAGTCACACATTGCAAGTTGCTCAAGCAAGCATCTCCGTTCTTCACACCACGGCGGCATGCATCCTGAAGCGAAGAGAAAATGTCTTCGATGTTTGATGAAAAACTGTAGCGGGGGAACCAGGCTTGCACACATGCCCGAGTGTCCGGGCACATCGCCCAGTCGTTCTGGTCGAAAACGGTGGGGATTTCCCGGAAGTGGTGGAAGGAAACAAAGGGGCACTCTTTGCGTAGCAACATGTTCATCTCTGGGTTTGCCTCCATCTCTTGGATCATCTTCCACTCGTCTCGCATGTCATGCAAAACCGTGCATTGCAGCTCCTTTGTTTCAGCATCGTCTTTGGGGTCTACCAAAAGGCAGGCCGATCGCGGAGGCGAGCTGCACAAGTAGAGGGCATACAACTCCAGCTCCATCAAGGTAGTCAGTGTTGCATGCAAATGATCCCAAGTCATGTCCATGCTGGTCGGGTGGGGCGGCTTCGAGATCACAAGCACCTCAGCCGTTTGGCGTGAGACATTGGTACTGTCATGTGGGAAACTACGAAGTGTGTCAAAACGGGCCGGGTGATTTGAGAGAGGAAACCATTCGCTTTGCATTTCCGAACCTAGAAGATGTCATGATATACTGCATCGGAAGCGGAACAGCCGTTTGAAATGAACCATTGATAAGTACGTGGCTTGGGAAACTGGCTTGGTGCTTTTCAGAGAAAACCTTCTCTGTCGGGTGGCATAGACTAGAGATATCGAAGCAACAAGAGCCGTTGCGGACTAGCCGCACCCACTTCGCGATTACCATGCTGAGTTCCAAGCACCCCTCTAGGACTATAGGCCGAGTCGAGGACGGTAGCATTGCCGGTGATTATTTCGGGGTTGAGGAAAACATGCGAGCTACTCCTATGACCCTAGAGTTTGTTTCTGCAGCCCCCCAATAAATAGAATGACTTTTGTGATCTGCACCTAACTGCACTTCGTGGGCACATCTGCTCTGACTCTGTCAAGTCACAGGATGGCTGTCGACATATTCACATGTCAAATCTGGCCCAACACCCATTTTCACAGCAGTCTGCACGGAGACGGCAGTGCGGAGCATCATGTTCAGCTGCTCGCCAAACTTTGCTTTGTTGCAGAACAAAGTGTGCCGGTGCAAAGCCCATTCTTTCGCTTTGTTCTTTTGCTTAGATGCAACAGACAGCTGATAGAGTAGCCAGACCACATGCAAGGCACTGTCTGCAAAGTCTTGCTGCCCGGCGGCCAACCAGCGGGCCATTGAACAGAAAGGCTCGCAAAGGTCTTTCAGGGCCTCGAACAATCCATGAACTTCCGGGTCCCACAATGCCTGCACGTTTCATCAAACTTGTAGCAACTTACTTATGAACGTGGCTTGCACTAACGGCACTACGGGAAATACAGTCCTTCAAACAGAGATCGACCACACGGTCGGCGTCTGTGGCCCTCTTCTTCTCACTTCCCGGCAATGTCGTGAAAGGGTTCATTCCAACCTGCAAACCGTAGCATCACAGTCAAAGGCGGCCACAATTCAAGCGACAGGCGAGGCCTCCATTCCACTCCACGTAAGGATCAGCAAAGTTGCAGAAAATTGGCCGGCGAAGGCCCTTGCACAGAAGCCCCATGAAATCCATCTGCCTTCCTTGTGGATGGGCCCCTGCCGCCTCTGAGCGATCTCAGCGATGATTAGTGCACTTTCCACTCTGCCAAAACCCGGCCAAATTTCATTGCTAGCAAAGACACTTGCAGGCTTTGTGCAACACCGCAACGATCCGTTCAAAGTCCATCCGTGCATCGCTGCTGCAGCTGAAGCCATTCCTGGGAAGTGGGTTCGTTTGTTGACAGAAAATCAGACGATGTTGGAAACAAGGAACACTCCGACATCCTCGCTCAACACACTGCAGCCGATTACAGATAGGGATCTCCTCCAGAATAGCCGTGCCAAACAACTGCATCAAGCAATCGTCCGGCTGAGCCTGCAGAGCTTGGAAACAAGGATTATGGAAGGCTTATTGTTCGCAGTGCAAACCCCACCGATTGTGGGCATGGGACCAATCACTTCAAATTCGAGACTAGATACGATTTCAAGATAGCGTGTCCCGGCAGCTCGCCAGGATTCGCCAACCCGGCCAGTGTGCCAGGGGCTTTTTCGAGCTTTCATCAGCCACCCTGTGAGCAGCTGGCAGCCTAAAGAACAGGAGCAGGCTGCTTTCTCAAGCTCATGATCGCTTCCAATGCAACCAAAATACGTTTGATTCCGGCTGTGCAGTGTAGCACCCTCAAGAAATGATTCTGGAGCTTGTGCCTAAGTGCAAGTGTGAGCAACACCAGAAGGCCTGCAATGATCCAGTGCAATCGTTGCCAAACCTAAAATCAGTCCGGGGTGCGACTCGTCCCGGATGAAGCAAACGGGAAATCCCTTCGCTGCAGCATACTGGTATGCCGAGTAGAGAGGTCCTCCCTGGTCCCCTTGCAAGACCAAGCGAAGAAGCTCTTTGTCCACACGGAGCCACTCAGACTCGCCTGACTGTGTGTTGCAGCGGAAAGAGCAGCCATCATACTTCTCCACGATCAGGTGCTCTTTCGGCCGTGCACCCATCAGCGTTTGCTTGGGGGGCTCCAGCTCGCATTCTAATAATTCCATGCAATGCAAGACAGCTCTCAAATGCTCTCGCGTAGATAACCGTTGCTGCCGGATCTTGGATATCGTCTTCGGCCTTAACCGCTCGCTGAAACACTTGCCAGACGGAGTGACCACTGCCTTGTGATCTCTGCTGCCAAGAAACACCTTGCTCGCTGCACCCTGCTTGGCGTCGGTCCGAGCTGCCTGGTCGGCAAGCTTTTGGGCTTCCTCCATTTTCGTCTCTGTAGAAACTGTCGAAGGGAGCAGGTCGCTAAGACGTTGTAGCACCCACGGAACCATAGTCTTGTCCACAGTCAGGAGTGGCAACCAAACCTAGGGTTCATTTCTCGCGAACAAACTCCACACCCAACCGAAACCGCCAGTGCAGCCAAGGAACATCCATGCGAGCTTTCGGGCTCGCATCAGATATCATGTTGAGGGATCGGAACCTCTGTGAATCCAGCTCCTGCACAGATTCATTGAACGAACTGATTTTCTGCGTACATGCACGTGCAAGCCTGTGCCAGTCCTGCTTGAGGGTCGTGGCTGCCCGACGAAAGAAACGGAATGCAAAGTCGCTGGATAGTCTGGCAGCAAACTCAACAAGACTCCCTACTGTAAATTACTCTCACACACACAATCAAGCAAAGGATGAATGAGCGTGAACACAAGTGCACGAACTGCCTGTGGTAGTGGCTGGGGCTGAGTTCTTCGAGCCCCATTTCACTCAAGCTTTGATCGGCTCCTTGTGACTGAAAACCAGCGGATCGATTCAAAAACCGATCCAATGCCAGGAGGTTCCGAGGCTTCGGTTCCTTCTTCAGTGCACGTCCATCCCTTGGATTTCGACAAGCACAAGCAGGCAATGCACGAGAGATGTAGTAGATGCTTGAAAGGGCCAGCAGTTATTTATCCTCCAAGGCACATCGTTGCCGGATGAAACTGGTCGTCGGGCGTGGGCAGAGGTATCTTGCTGAGGAGCACACCATCTAGGTTCACTTCCATAGCTTGGCACAACAAATGTAGGAGCCGTCGTTGGAGTCGTGCGACCATAATTTGCCCCTGCAGACAACAAGCACTTTGCGAAACAGCCTGCCCATGTGTGCCAACTTCTCGTCCTCACAAGCTTCGTCGACCAGCGGGGTTCGCATGATAAAGAAGACGAGGCTGTGCAGCCGGATTCCTGGCAGTCGTGTTCAATCTCAAAAACTTGAGTAATGACAGGCTCGAGACTTCAAGAATGCACTATCCTGCTTGAAGTTTCCTCTGGGCCGGGGAGATCATGGCGAACTTCTGCCACCTCTCATCAGCACCGACTGTCCAAACTACAGACAAGACATAGACCGACCTTGGCAGCCATCCCATGAAACCAAGAAAGGTTTCGAGACTGTGCAGGTCCACGTCCAAGTCGTGGCACCGTATCTTGCCTGACACAGACAGCTGACGGCACGTGGCTCTGTGACTGCACAGAATGAAGCAGAGTTGCAAGCTGGTATGTTGGGCAGCAGTCGGAGCTCCAAATCAGCCGGGGCAGTGCTGGAAATAATCGTGTCCAACACTTCAAGGGCACCCTGCTGCAAGTTCGGTTTGCAGCCACGGATTTGCAGCACACTGCACACCTAAGGATTTGCTGTGCTGAAGCAAAGGAACATCGCGTATGAGACAGCATTGCTGACTAAGGGTAGGGCCATGAACAAAACCCCAAGGGGTGTCGCTGCATCGAACGGCAGCCGTAGTTTCTGCTCTGCAGCTTCTTGTTGCTTGCCTTTGTAGTCTTTGGATCGGATCAGGTGGGCCGAAACCGAAATCTTCCATTCCTGTGACATCTCAGCTGTGAGATTGTCTTGCCTCGGTTCTACACAAACACATTGACAACACAGAAGCGACGAGAAGGGAGACTGGATCTTCGCCTGCATTCTGGGAAAGCCATGATGCAACTTGGTATACCAGTTGTGGAAGGCCTGCTGCCTTTTCAGCAACGGCCACACCTGGCTGATCCTGAAGAGGTGAAGGTATCCCTCCGTGGCATCCTCCGATTTCACCTGGTTTTGCTGGCGAACCTAGCACTTCATATGTATTTATGCAGCAAGCTTAATCTCCAGAACAAGGGGCCTTGTGGATTTGAAAGACACCACGGTGGCCACGGGCGGTCCGTAGATAGGAGATTTCGGTGCGGGTATACTCTCCTTCTGTCGGGCGTCCATCTTGCTGCGGAACAAACGGTTCTTGCAGCACCACAGCCGTCTCTTCCGGCTCCGAGGGCTCCTCTAGACGAGGCCGCAAATACAGGCCTGCACCAGCAGCCAAGGCTCGATTCTCATCGAGCAGGGCCTGTCAAGAAATTGGCGGGTGCTAATTACATACCTCCACTCATGGAAACTCAAAACCAAAACAGAAACCCTTCCACTGAAATGGCCTCCCAATCTTTCAGCGACAGGAGGTCGAGTTTCTCCTCCAGCGTGTTTCCGGCCTTTGTCTTCTGGTCCAAAAACCGGAGCTTGTCCAGAAACTTTATTCGGAACTCCGCTTTTTTGATAGGCTCTTCGATCCTGCCAAGCACGGTGGCTACATATCTGATGTGGAATGCATTTCCGAAGTGGAACGGACATACCCTGTCCTGGCGATCTCTCTTATCCTTCCCTTCAACCAAGCTTCCATGCCTGGGCCCGGGGTTCCACATGGCGGGTTTGAATATCATCGTTCCACAAACTTGCCTGTGTTCTGCATCAGCGTTGCGGTGCGGGCCTCCTGGTCACCAGGAGGCTGGCGTCGTAGAGCTGATGCAGCACGTTGGTGGCTCCTGAAGTGGAACGATATAAGTGTGGGTTTT